CCTTGGTGAGTTGGTCAATGGCATGACCAAATGAGGGATTTTCATCCCACCATTGATGATTTCTTCTCTGGAAGTAATCGGCTGCAGTAAATCGGTGGCCTGACACGCTACTTCTGCGCAAAATGCTGTAAATAACAGATAGGAAGGGAGGACCTGGTGGTTTGAAGGTAAGCTTCCAAGTGAATGTATTCTGCTTTTAGCAATGTAATTACAAAGTGAATGTATTCTGCTTTTAGCTATGTAATTACATAGCTTAAAGCAGAATACATTCACTTGGAAGCTTACTTTCAAACCACCGCAAATGGTTGAGAGTTTCATAACTCCTCCTGGTTTACTTAGGTGAAGACTTAACTTGTTTCCAACAGTGACTGTCTTTGAACTTCTCTTTCGCCGCATCTCGCAATCGTCAACATCCACGGCAACGGGATTCGCCGACGCCATCGCGTTCCCATCTTCGCCCACGAGCTGGAACATTTTTCTCGCCATCGATCAATATCACGCGAGAATGAACTCTCATGAGCCGGGGTGGTGCTTAATGCAGACTTCAAATCTGTATGCAAATTTCGTTGCAGGCCCTCACTTGCGCATTATATCAAATTGTTAAGAGATTGTTGTATAATGATAGCATCATCTCGTAACTATTCGACACACAAGTGGGAAATCACACGTTCCACTTTGCCGTAAAACACAGCAGCTTCCGGATTACTCCAGTTACTTGCGAGCTAGAAGTTATTGCTACGTCAAGACCTGAATTTTATACGTTTGGACCTATAAAATTTTTCATTAATCGATGAATATGGTCGACGGTATTCCAAAGACCACTTCTGAAGTCAACAAGCTATTGCATTGAAGCCTACTGGCAAAAATGTTAACTTGTCACTGGAGACGTATAATGTTGATGAAATTCTAACAGAGAAGGACACTAGTTCATATGTCAGCTAACAAGGGAATCAGTATTGATGAAGCTACTACATTTATGAAAAAAATAATGATTTTGCTTTTACGTACTGTCACAATACGCTATTTACTTCCTATCTTGCTCTCTAAACGGCTCTTTGATGATAAGAAATCGATTGGCATCAATTGTACATGAAGGATGGACTGTTACTGGCCAGCAACCACGTCAAGCCGCAAAATGTTTATTGTCCATTTGTATGCATCAAACATATCAACGCTCAATCCTCAATAGTCTCAATAGAAACCTGTCAATTGTGCCCAGCATCAATGCCTCGCCAGCTCAAGCCCGATCAACTTCTCACACCTGTGCCATCTGATATCGACATCAGCGACTCTATTGTACCGTTACACATTACGGAGATTGCCCATGCCGCCGGGATCGTTAGTTATTGATACGAACAAATTGGACTCTGGTGCACACTGTTTATATATACTTGTCAATGTAGCTTCCAGAGGAAGTGGTGCCATACGGCTCGACAAAAGCTAAGATATGTCTAAGTGTGCGGGAGCGGCTTATGGATCAGCCCAATGGAAACTACGTTGTCGTCACAGGCATCACTCCTACACCACTGGGTGAGGGTAAAAGCACAACAACGATCGGGTACGTCATGCAATGAGTGACTTGCCAAAGTGTCATCGTGTTATTGATTTCGCTCATTTTTTGCTATACCAGCTTGTGCCAGGCATTAGGTGCCCATCTCAACAAAAAGGCATTTGCTTGCATTCGCCAACCTTCGCAAGGTCCTACGTTTGGCGTCAAAGGTGGAGCTGCAGGTGGTGGCTATTCTCAAGTCATTCCTATGGACGAATTTAATCTGTACGCATATGATGAAGACTTAAGCGATGCAGTATTACTAACAGTCTCACTACTTCCAGCCACTTGACGGGAGACATTCATGCAATTACTGCTGCTAATAATTTGGTACAGCGTAATATAATGATAATGGTGTGGGTGACTCATTCGTAATGTAGTTAGCTGCAGCTATCGACACCCGGATCTTCCACGAGAACGCGCAAAGCGACAAGGCATTGTTCCATCGGCTTTGCCCACTACAAAAGGATGGTTCTCGCAGGTTTTCGCCTATCATGCTCAAGCGACTGCAAAAGCTTGGCATTGTAAAAGTCTCTCCTGCTGATCTGACAGACGAAGAAATTCACCGTTTTGCGCGTCTTGACATAGATCCCGATACAATCACATGGCAACGTGTGCTAGATACATGCGACCGATTCCTACGACAAATTGTTGTAGGCACTGGATCTACTGAAAAGGGTCAGAGCCGCTCAACGGGTTTTGACATTACCGTTGCGAGCGAGATCATGGCCATTTTAGCGCTTACAACTAGTCTGAAGGACATGCGCGAGCGTCTTGGACGTATTGTTATTGGTATGAGTCGTAATAACAATCCAGTGACGGCGGACGATTTGGGTGTGGGTGGTGCACTCGCTGTTCTCATGAAAGACGCAATCTTACCAACACTCATGCAGACGGTCGAAGGCACACCAGTATTTGTACATGCTGGACCATTTGCCAATATAGCTCATGGCAATTCATCCATTATTGCTGACCAAATTGCACTAAAGTTAGCAGGTGAAGATGGATTTGTGGTCACTGAATGCGGATTCGGAGCTGATATTGGCATGGAAAAGTTCTTTAATATTAAATGCCGGACAAGTGAACTGACTCCCCAATGTGTTGTGCTTGTCTCAACGATTCGTGCGCTGAAAATGCACGGAGGTGGCCCAAATGTGGTCGCAGGCAAACCGGTAGGTTATTATAGTATTGATTCTTGAGCTATGTATTTTGAAACAATATGAATGATTATTGTTTAGCTTGACGCCGTGTATATCGAGGAGAATCTGGAAATGCTAGAGCGTGGTTGTAATAACATGCAACACCATATCCGCAATGCTCTTAAGTTTGGCGTAGCTGTTGTTGTGGCAGTAAATGTGTTTGCTACCGACTCACCGCGTGAAGTGGAAATTGTAAAGCAGAAAGCTTTAGAGGCTGGAGCGATGGCTGCTGTGGAGAGCACTCACTGGGCTGAAGGTGGAAAAGGAGCTATCAAATTAGGGCAAGCTGTCGTATCTTCATGCGGCAAGATGCGTGCGCAGGGCAGTCCGTTTAAATTTCTGTATCCCCTGGAACTGAGCATCGCTGAAAAGTTTGAAGTTATATGCAGTAAGTTATTATATTGTTCGTGTATTGGGTGCGTCATAACTGACATGATGCTTTACGGGAAACAGAAGAAATTTACGGAGCAGACAGTGTCGAATATAGCGAAATAGCGATGAAGAAACTTGCACTTTACTCGCAGCGTGGGTACGGCAAGCTTCCTGTATGTTGTGCTAAGACTCATTTAAGCCTAAGTACGGATCCGTCCGCTAAGGGCGTGCCCACGGGCTTTTCGGTCGTTGTACGGGATGTTCGCGCCTCTATCGGGGCTGGCTTTGTCTATCTTTTGTGTGGTGACATGATGACGATTCCTGGCCTTCCCACACGTCCTGGATTCTATGATGTTGACCTGGACACAGAGTCTGGCAAGGTTATTGGTTTGTTTTGAGCTATAAATCGAATATTTTAAGTCGATCAATTAAGACTATCAAGTCTCAAATTTTGCAAATTTATTGTATTTCTCAAAGGCTTCGTTTAAGTTCGATGTTCACATTTAAAGGTCGCTATGGAAGTGCCATCGAATGATGTCCGCTTTCAAATGGAACTCGAGTTCGTTCAGTGCCTAGCCAGCCCTGCCTACCTTAACTGTACGCACTTCACCATCATCCTCTTTATCCTTGTCTGACATTCTCTTCATAGTCCTTGCCATAAACCGCTACTTCGAGAATCCAGCCTTTATGAACTACCTGCAGTATCTCAAATACTGGAAGCAGCCGCAGTATGCCAAATACATTGTGTACCCACATTGTTTAGCTTTCTTGGACATGCTGGACGACGTAAGATTTCGTCAGATGATTGCACGTGAGGACTTTATGACACTCGTGCACGGCCAGCAGTTCTACCATTGGCAAACATTTCTCAACAACCGTTCGGAGGGAAAGCCCCACGAGGCGATAGCAGAGACGAACTAGGTTAAATTGTGACTATTACGATCAACATGTTAAAATATATATTGTGTGCGGCACTGACCAATGTGTAGTGTACTATCAATACATCAAAATATGCAGACGACTCGTGGATATACATCATCTGTGAAAGAGATGGCAGACAACTGAGTTACATTGTATTCGAGACATTTCGGTTTTAAAATGAATCTGCGACCAGGTAATTCTAAACTGAAAGCGACAAAGCACCTTGGCTCATGTGCAAAGTGAGACTACGTTCATATTATCTGATACAACCCGTCCGTCGGGCTTGTGATGTCGTCGGATTACTGACCTGCTAAAATCGATTCATACTCTTTCCCAAGAGATCTTTATTCAATAATTGTCTGAAGATAATAATTTTTGGATCGTCTCTATTTACTCCTACATACTTAGTTTAGTGTTGCTCTGCCTTGATTGTTTCTCAATAACGATAGACGAATTGACTGGTCGTCAGTTGTACTAGCTACTGGTCATGAGAAAACTTCGGCACGTAAATCAGGTTTACTAGTTGGCATATAGCTTGTATCTGAAGAAATCGGGGTGACCGGCTGCGGTGATACGAAGCCATCATCCTGAAGAGTCTCGCTGGACCAATCAGCTTCAAACGCCAAATCGGACAGTGATGCTCTAAGATCATGATCACTCTCTTCAGAATTAACATCAAGGCCATTTTGTGTCATATCGAGACTCGAGTTACGGTGCTTTAATTCTACTGGCACAACGGAAGTGAAGCTTGCTGGAGACATGCAGCTATCTTCAATTTCCAGAAACGTCAGGTCGTCATCATCTTCAGTCGACATCAACGCTTCAGCCTGTGATGCATGGTTTGGCGAACACAGCGAGTCTTTGTTATGAAGTGAATGTCTCAACAAGGTGCTAAACTCATCTTCAGAAAGCACAAAGCTGGAGGAGTCAGCAAACAAACCAAGCGGGTGGCTGAGACTACGAATTGTGTCAATACAGCGCATCATTCGAAGTGTCAGTGGGGTATCTGAGAGTTGGATACACAGCTGCGTTCTCGGATTTCTTGAAAGTCGCACCATTAAGCGCATTTGTTGGGATCGATTGACTACAAGTCCACTGCCATTGCTATTATCGGTGTGCTGCGCATGCAAAAAGTCCTCAAGTTTTTCTGCATCTCGGAGCATCAGGAACTGGAATAGATTACAACCGTAGAGATCTGCGGCATTGTTGGCACCAAAATCAGGCGCACACGTGTCTGTCACGACGATGAATTCACCTGAAGGAAGGCAGAAAGCAATTCGCTTGCTGTTCGGCACCTTCTTGATCTCCAAAAGTGTGACAGTACCCAATCCCATTGCAGTTGCAGTGCTGATCAAAGATTGACCAGTTTGGCCAGTCCGTCCGAGGCACTTTTATTAATGGAAGATAAGCTCAATTGTGGGATTCTGATCGTTAAATGATTCACGTGCTTAATGATTTGAAGTTGCAATCGAATCAACTGGAGTGATTCGAAGTGCGTACCTCGAACCAATTTAAATCCGACAATAAACTGATTGACAGATACTTCGTAGATCTAAGCACTGCAAAATGGGACCTGGCACTTTGACAGCAAATCGCGCAATGCGATGAATGTGGCGGGGGTGGGGTGGAGACGGTGAGGAATTTACTTGAAAACCCGTTGGAGAAGTATGTGGTAGCTTTGCGGTGGCTTGATTGCACCCGTTACCACTATCTACAGTCAAGCTAGAGATGCAACACTGGCGAGCAAATTACTTAGGATGCTGATGGAATCCTGTGACGACACAAAGACGAACCAGATTTCTGCTTGGCGTCGGCACCCTCTATTCTGCGACATCACCAGAATCTTAGGTATTTTGTTTAAGGGGTTATTGGAGCATTTGAACTAATACTATTGATATATTTTTTAAGCTAACAAACTTAACAAGAATGAATTATAACAATTTTGCTGGTCTCTTGTTGAACTTGCTAAGCTGGATAACTACCCTAACCCAGTCTGACGTGCTTTGCTGGTACATTGTACCCTTCAACCACTTTTGGATTGGCTAAAAATGCATGATAACGTTTAAAATGGCATCGAGTGATGAACATGTGCCGCCGATCCCGCTGGACGATTACGAGTATCGCGTGATGCTTGGCGAATCAATGTTTGATACAAATGATAGACAACAAAAACAAGGAGATGTCTATGCAACATTTGGATACGAGTTTCAACCGGCATCTATCGACAAGAGCACACCCGGAATCGTAAGTGTGGACAACTCAGGTAGCGTGCAGGTGCTGATGGCCTCGTCCACAGGTCGTGTAAGTTTTAAAGGCAAGCTCGTAGAGCACAAAGAAACGGATTGTCTGCTGTTCTTTGACGGCTCCGGATTCCGGCTTGAACACTGCCCGTTCTCATGCCTGCAGCTGCGCCACGTGCGAGCTCCAGCACCGCGACGCCATTCGCAGATTCAATCTACGAAGACGACTAAAATCTATGCACATAGGATATCAGAATCAAAAGAAGGTGGATTACCAGCCGCGCCGGAGATAACATCGTCTCTTGAGACAGATAAGAAACCAGTAGGAAGACCAAGAAGGGTCCAGAACAAGAGACGTATGGCGACATCTAAAGGTTCTATAACTGCTACCTCGACTGCAAAGCGACTTAGGGGTAGACCAAAAGATTCGACGAAAGCAGCCATGAAAATGCGGCAAGATGTTGAGACTAGATCTAATAAAATGACATAAGGCAGCAGGATTCGAACATTGAGTGTAGACAATGCATTTTGAAGAAGGGATTTCTCTTGCTTTTATAGTCTTATGTAGAATACACATCACTTTTATGGAAGGGCGCTAATCTGAGAGCTACAAAGGTTGCTATATCTTACAAACATCAAGATAACTGTCGTCGTTCAGACTTTAGGTTTCTTACTTCAAAGTGAAGAAGAATATAGACATCGTCGAAAAACTCAGTCGCGCGACAAGACACACAAACTTGGCAAATTAGCATGAACAAAGCCAACAAGCGCCGTGAAATGGACGTCATGAAACTGTAGGATTTTTTGCTGAATAAAAGTTTAAGAGTTTGTTCTCTCACTACGTCTGTGCTGCGTTTCGGTTTGTGAGTAGGATGATGAGCGACTATGAAGTGCTTCTTTCGGACGAGACTAAGACTAGCGGCCTCGATGTCAAGTTTCATGGCCCCAAAGATAGTTCGTGTTACATCGAAAACACACCAAATCTTTTCTTTTTATTGACATTGATTCGTATTGTGTGAGAGAAGCTCCATACGAAGGAGGCTTTTGGAAAGTTCACGTGACGCTACCGAAGGACTACCCTTTTAAATCTCCTTCTATTGGTTTTGTTAACCGTATTTACCACCCGAACGTGGACGAAGCGTATAATCGTGATTCGTTGTTATAAGATCTATCTCCATTGTCTGACATATTGTGTACTCTTGGTATCAAATTGACTACCAGATCGGGATCCATTTGCCTTGATGTGATCAATCAAACATGGAGTCCAATGTTTGGTGAGACGTTTATCCATACTGTGTATTGAAGAAGAAAATTGACTTTGTTTTACAGAGCTCATCAACATTTTTGACATGTTCATCCCACAATTGCTTCGATACCCAAATCCCAGTGACCCGCTTAACGGAGAGGCTGCTTCATTGCTTATGAAAGACGCTGAATTGTACAACAAAAAAGTGAAAGGTACATTAAGGTCAACTCTTAGAATGCGATCTATAATTGCGAACTATGGTGTGTAACCCATACAGAGCACGTGCGAAGTTATGCCTCGCAGCCCATTGAAATGGACAACCAGGAAGAAGACAGCGATGTTAGCGAGATGAGTGACATTGAGTAATCTTTTTCTCGCTCCCCATCCCACACTGCTCTTGCCTGTCAACCCGTATCATGTCTGGACTGCATCTTATGTCGCTATTCTTTTCGCTGTCGTGAGAATAAGACAGAGAGTGTTTATAATTACACTCTTTGAACTACTTAGAAAGAAAGTTAGAAGAATCCGCCTTTTTCTGAATATAATGAGCATTTCTTCGAAGACGATCACTCATGTTGCTAGTTTCGTTCAGATAAGCATCTGAGTGCAGTTTCCTGGTATTAAGCATGTGAAAATTCGTAAGAAATTTATCGAATGTAAAGACGCGATAACGCACCTGAGAAACTCTGGGTTGCTTTTTGTAACATCTTCCTCACGTTTATCCAATTCTTTTTGCTTCAGCGTTGCAAGTTTGGTGATGTAATCCTCGCGATCTTTGGCATCTTGAACCATCTGCTGAGCTCTAAGCTTTTTTTCCTCGTGTGTTAATTCAGGTGATTGGCCCCGAGACTTGCCTAGTTTGCGCTGACGCTCTTTATCCTCAAGGCGCTTGGACTCACGAGCTTTTGCCAAGTGCTTGGCATTAGGTCCCAACGAAGTCTTGTCAACATCCTTACTTTCAATTGCACCGCTTTTGGTGACGAGACCGTATTTACCAGCAGTATCACTTGGCTTGAGTATCGTTTCTGGCTCCTTCTCTCGCTGACGCCCTTCAACGCGATCATGATCTTTTCTAAAACTCGGCTGGCGTCGGCTATGTTCACGGTGTCTAGAAGGGCTGCGGTCTCGTCTTCGACTCAAACTGCGAAACCGACGCTTTTCTCGACGAAAATCGGGACTGCGAGAGCGACGCAATTCTCGACGACCATCAGGACTGCGAGAGCGACGCAGGTCTTGACAACTATCTGAACTGCGAGAGCGACGCTGTCCTCGACTATCTGTGCTACGAGAGCGACGCTGTCCTCGACTATCTGTGCTACGGGACCGACGCAGTTCCCGACGACTTTCAGGACTGCGAGAGCGACGCTGTCCTCGACGGCTGACCGAACTACGACAGCGAGAGTAAGATCTTCTTTTTTTGAAATGACGTCGGTCTCTTTGCTGTTGACGAGGTTGTGTTTTACTAAAAAAGCTTCTGTCAGAGCTAATCTTCTCGCGTTTTGAAGCTCTATCGCTGCGAGTTCGGTCTTCCATCTTGTCTCGACGAACACTGCGGCTTGGGCTCCGGCTGTGATAATCACTGGTAGAGCTTGCACTACGTCGAAGGCATCTATTTACTCGCGGCTTGGTCATGTATTGAACACTACTCGAGCGATTGATACGATTTTGAGCACAGGTATGCCCACGATGATCTAAATCTCGCTCACGGTAACGCGAACGGCCACGGGTTTGGTCACCGACACGACGGGGTAATACTGATGATCTAGATCTGCGATCTAATCTAGAGCGCGATCTAGCTCTGCTCTTGTAGTGTTTTTGCCAGTCTTTCCCTCTGCTGTCGTCTCCACTCGAGCTGCTCATATCTCCTTCGTCAAGAATTTTTCTCTTTTTCAGTCGTCGTTTTTCTTCTTTTCGTGCATGCTTCTTTTCCTTCTTAGCAGCTTTTTTCGCTTTTTTTAAAGCTTTCTTGTCTCCCTTTAGCCGATTTACCTGATCCTTGATTTTTTTCATTTTAACAGGATTTTTTAAGACTTCATCTCGAGCTGCCTGCTGCCGTTTTCGAATTAGCATCATTGGATCCTCATTCAGCCGCTGAAAGGCATCGTGGGCTGGCAATGTGCTCTTATTGAGTGCAAGCGAGCCATATTTTGAGGTAGAACTTAAATCAACATTATCTTTGGCCGTTTTTTCACCGTCACCCTTGTACTCTTTGCCTAGCAAATACTCCTCCGCAGTCTTTTCACGAGCTGCCGATGGCCCTTCGTACATCCAATCCACTCGCTCCACGGTCGCTGACTTGTCACCATGTGCTGCCTGCATTTTTCTTAATTCCTGAAGCTGCCGCTCTTCCTCAATGTTTTTGAGAAGCTCCGCGACTTTTTTCTCCTCAGCCGCGTGCTTCTGCTCGGCGATCCAGACCTTCTCCACATTCTGAATAGATCAATGAAGAACGATTTTATCGTGAGAGCGTGTAGACATTGCAAAATAATGTAAAGATAAATTAAGTTGTTCACGTATGAGGTCAAAGATTTTAACTTACGCGTAAATTCGCTGTATGCCAGCTCTTCTTGGACAGAAATGCTAACGACATGGCGCTTGGAAGTCCAAGTACAAAAATGAGCAGGAAAATTATGTACAATACGTAAACGTATCAGTTCTGAATTCTTTAATGTAAAAATCACAACATGTCAAGAAAAGTATACAAAAATTGTCACAGGTGGCGAGGTTTGCTTGATTGAGAAGATCGGCGCCAGCATGGCTTAACAGCCATTGCATCATACCTTCGAGAAATTTTGCGGCCAATGGAATTTATTGGACCAACTCAAAACCTTACTTCAAAATGTAATTTCTCAACTTGTGCATTTATGTCCTCTGGAAAATGCATGTATCTATGCCTCCATTTATAAAAAAAAAATAGAGCCAATTTGATTTGCCTTTTGTATCTGTGCAGGGGTGATGCGCAACTGGCGGCTAAAGAAGACAAAGGGACATTTGCATCTATATATTCAGCTGCGAATTTTTGCTCCTTCTCACTATCGAGATATCGATCACCACTATTTTGCCTATCATCTGAACTGTATACATTAGATGTACAGTGGTTTTTGTACTTTCATAAGAGATGCATGCTTGTTCAGCACACTTTTGAACTCTTGTTTAAAGTTACAGCTTTTGGTTTGGTGATACATCAGCTAAATATCCGTCGCCAATAGCTTCTATCTCTTTATAATTGTATATAATGCTCAAGTAAGACACAGCAAATTTGATCTCGCACCTTGGACAGCGGAAGCTTTGGTCCACCAAATCCGCAGAATTGTAAACTCTACTGTGGAGGGGGAACCGAAGGTATCTCAAGTAGTCAAAGTCCTATTCGAACTCCTAAAATTTATTTAGAGTTTGAACGATTTTAGACTAGTACTGATTGGATCAACACAACATCTCGTACTGACGCTACCAGCCCACGCGCAACGAAGTTGCCGTGCACTTTGCATAGAGGGCTGTTGGCTCTCAGAGTCCGCTCATAGAAACGCCCAGGAATGCATTTGTTCGCTATTACCAGGGTCGGATTGAAGATTCTGCAAAGTAATCAACACTGTTAGTTCACTGTGCAATACCGAAGTTATCTATACTGAGGTGTAATTCTTTTTTTACTCACTCAAACATATAATTTTTTTTATCCCTCATCAAAGAATTGTCTCGTCATAGAATTGTCTTTTCCCTGACGCGCGGCTAGCAGCCCACGCATATCGCGGACCCTCATCTTTGGGATTCCATCATCTTCAAAAATCTTGACACTTTCATACTCTTGGATATTCACAATAACGTTAGGCAATATGAATCTCGTAGTTGCATTGGCATTGGGCTATTCGATAAAGTAATTGATTCCGTGTTTCTCTACGATAATGAGCAGTCTGACTTAGCGCAGTCGCAAGCTGACCTTGTAGGCCACAGAAAGACGTCTGAGGTAACTTTTTTTCATTTATCAAACCCTTTGCCGCAAATTTGTTCTTATGCAATTAACTGCCTCTGGCATCGGCGCGCTGTTTTTGTTTGACTTGGGTATCGGATATAGCTTCGCGCATTCTGCGCATGACGCTCAATCTTATGAGAAAAAACATTGATTTTTCATTAAAGTGCAGATACTCAAGTCGATCTTGATCGACAGCCTCTCCGCCGCTAAAGCCAGAGCTGTTTCACGGCGGTGTCAAAGGCAACCACGGATTTGCTAGACCATTCACGTCAAATGATTAAAATACTGAGGGGACATGTAATGAATGAGTCAATGTTAAGTCAATGATTGGTGCACCCAATGTGCACCTCATTCTAGTATCTCATCGCTCCGTACAAGTATTATGAGGAAAGCCTCCACATCACGACTCATGCGTTCGGTCTGATCATCTTGTTACTGATGGTCAGTGTTGACACATATTATATGGTGTCAAACACCGTGAAGAATGCTCGTCAAAGTTGTACGATAAAGCGCGGATATCTTTCTGTCCCAATGGTTACAAGTTTTGAAAACTTCTTTGGGCATCTTGACTGAGGTCTCACCGGTTCCGGTGTTGCTGATAGCAGCGAGATCAGCAAATGATCCGAAAAGACCGCGACACTGGTATAATCGAACGCGTCTTTCCAGCACGAATAATAAAGCCTATTGTAATGAACTGGAAGCATTCTGGTAGAACAAGAATAATGAAGTTCATTATGATGGACTGGAAGCATTTTAGTAAAACAGGCAGGTCAATTACAGGAGCTGCCGCATACGGTGAGAAATTCATCTGCTGACGCATTTCGCACGTGCGCACATACGAGCTTACTTTCTTCACATGTTGGGCCACCAATACATGGCAATCACCGGGTGGTATAGGTCTTTTGATCCGAATTGGCTACTCAGAGGTCTCATCTAGTAACTCAGATACTAATGTCATGAGGCACGATTACTCACCAATTTTCCCATGTGAGTAAATGCTATGATCGAGCAAGCCTAAAATATGGCGCAGCAGGCAGACATGTTGCCTTGCTTTTTTATTGAAAAACGCTTAGTTTTCAAATCATTTGCTTTAAATTAATTTCGGTAACACAGCATATGTTGCGTCTACCCGTACGCTTCACGTATCCACTGATCGATAGGAGAGTCGTGTCATTACATGCCAAACTCAGTAGCCTTTAGGCGGTTAGGATAGCTGGCAGTAACTCAGAAACCCGAATTCCAGTGCCGGCGTCGGAATATTAGTCGGGCGACGCAATAGCACATTCGAGACAACATTAAGCTGACCCGGATAATGCCCTATCTCAACATATTCTCGACAAATAATGAGATTCTTTAAATATTCTGCATTAAAGTTTTGGTGACGACGTCGCAGCGCAAGATGACGCATGGTTTGAATTGGTCAAACGCAAACGGCTTAGAAAACAGAATGTGGAGATTGAACACGACAAAAGTAGAAAACATTGCAAGTAGCATTTATACTTTTAACTTTTTTACGATGACACTATCAGCTGACAACTTTTAATCGCGATCACGTGTACAAGCCTAATTTCATCAGGTCACAGAATTTAAAAAGAGCACCGCTCACAAGCTGTCAATGTGGATCTCCACATCCGTTTCTCTTGCTCTGTATGGCTACGATGTGGCCTACACAGCTACACCACCAAACGATAAAACAGTGCTTACTGCATTCGACGAAATTTTGAGGTGTAAATCTCCGCCATTATCCACTAGACAAGTCACGAACAACCGTCGACCATGTTGTTCAGCAGTACATTTTGTCTGAGACAATGCTGATTCCTAAATTTGATTGCATACAGCTCATTTACAGCATGTGCAACTCACCATTACTCCTTCTTACGCAGAAAGTTGGCATTGAGTGAGAAGATTTGCTCATTTTCGCTAAACTGAATTTGGGCTTGGCACAGACGAAAGGGTCACTAACGTGACACTGCTCACTCGGTAAGAGCCATTGCCGTGCGGCGTATTCGTTTCAATTTCATGAGACGTGTCCTTATTCGGAAGCAATACATGTGTAGTATCCCTCTTTATCACTTTGTGGTGCTCCTTCGACAAAGAATAGAAAGGAGCCGTACGGGGCATTCATATACCTATCGCTTTCTTTCCACTCAGTGAAATACAGATGTCATTTATAAAAAGAATCATCATGACGGATGACTAGCTAAGCCCCTTCTCCAGTACCAACCAAATCATTTCAGTGACTTTATCGCCTTCAACCTCTTAAAGGTTTCTTGAAAGACAATTTTTTCCTGCTCTTTAGGAGCTTATTGCGGCGGATGTAGTGAAAACAGACATACAGCCCCTTGGACCACGCCTGTCCCTATATTCACGCTTTAACAATATTTGTTACCTCTTACCTGGAGAGCTTTACTGCTCAATACGGCGAGATTGCCACACCTTAATTCAGGCTTAGCAGTGCTGTTTTATCGGATGAGATATCCGTTTTATCCAAGACTTGGTCGAATTTTTCTCGTGGCTTGCGTTCATTTTTCGAGTGCATTGGCTCATCCTGGATATATACCGGGGACCGCGGCATGCAGTCGTCCTTTCCCATTTTTAACGAAGACGAAATCTGTAGACCACGGCATATGATCGCTCTTTTCTGTCTCATCGCAAAATCTCAATTCACCGCCACTTGTACAGCCGAGCTATGTTTGAGGCGCCAACCTAAACCATTGTTGTCACCTTCGTACAACTCCATGAATTGCGCGAGAGCTCTCGATATTGTAACCGCGTCAAAAAAGCTTTTGCCCACAAAAAGAGGAGGGGTTATGTCCTACTAACGTTCCACAAGGAGAGCTATGCGTGATATCATTTGTATCTGTCTTGCTGTCGATCCTTGGCTCGTGACGCTCCAGCCACGCCATTAGAAGGACACTCCAACGTCAGGTCGAGCTGACGTTCCGGTCCTCCGAGATCATAATCTTAAATCAAATGTTGAACATAACCTAGTGCGTAGTGCATATTTGCATTAACCTTTTGAAATTATCAGGACTTACCAAAGCTCCAGAAAGCCCTAGGTGCTGATCTGAGAGACCAACAACACTGAGCAATGAGTCCCAGTTCTATTTTGAAGGGTAGCTTTTATGGGCTCAGTCTCTCTGGCTACGAACTCCGTGACAAACGTTGATACTCATATTTTCTCATTCGACCATCTTGCGTCTATCAAGACTTTCTTGCAGGGGACACTTTATGGGAGTCTGGTCTTTCGTACTTTTTAGCCGTGAATGAACGGGTCAAATAAGGTGCTGATGCTTGACTTCACCGCAAATGAAACATTCGTGAGTTTCGCCAAACTGATCAGCGGCTAAGAAATAATGTTGTTCTTCCATCAATCGCTCCCGGCGTGCTCAAAAATTTCCTTCCGGTTCGAAATTTAGCCGCCTACGTGGTACAACAGTATTTCGCATTTGATGCCCATTGTATCGCTTAGGCTGTAGGGTAGACATAGAAAGTCTTGGTGAGAGTAGCGCGGCTTCACAAAAATCTCCAAACTATTACCATTTCGGGACAGGATCGTTGCTATAGCTGTTATGCGAGCTTTCACCTTCTGAACATATCCGTCAGCTCTTACCGCCCTTAATGGGTAAACAAAACATTTGGTGTTCCCGTCGGTCCTAAAATATAATCTATGCTGATAAACTGCCAGCGACATACAGAACCAGTAGTGGTGGTGGTTACCTGTTGATTAGTTAATACGTGCACACAACGTTTAAGATTAACAAGTACACCATTCAAAGAAGTCTGCTTATCTGTACATGTCAAGTTACCAGTACTGCGCCTAAAATCGTTTCGAAAAAAACCTCCCAAGTGTAGTATAATTTTTCTTACGTGATTTAGGGTATAGCACAGCTGTTAGTAGACGGGTTATGCGACGAATGTAACAGGGTGCATAACGTTTTATAGTGTGCATATACGTAAGACTTATGCGTAAGGCCTGCGTATGCCAAAGTAACAGCACTGATGAAAACGATAGAAAAGCAGAAATGAGATTTCGTGTGATGCGTGGACTCTAAGCCTGATCTCATGCAGCAGAAATCAGAAGAAATGGTGAAACTTTGAGGTCGGTGACCTGGTTCTATGAGATGCTCAAAACCTATTTACACACGCAGTCTCTGCTGTTTTTACGACGAAGATCCGTCCACGGTTTACTGGATCTTTCAAGGTCGTGGCCTAGAGAGGCCTGGATATACACTGAACCCTCCGAGAAGGATACGCGCCCATTTGTGTTTTATGTGTGCTTGCTTAAGCCGAACCGGGATATGGCGCAAGTGAACGCGGAAGCGTTGGCACCAAGGCGCGCGGCCACGCAGAAGCTGAACCAGCAACCGGTTCTGAGCACGGAGTGCAGCAATTTCCGTTTCCTCCACCATATCACGAAGTATCGTATTCGTCTGCTAAATGGTTAGGAGCCGCTCCGACAGAGCGCGATAATCTTGGAGTTGAGGCGGTCCGTGCACAAAGTACTCCAGGCTCTCTAGGCAAGATGCTCGGCGGAGTGCCGATAACGACGGTCAATGTCTTCCAAAGCTCGAAGATCACCACGAGCCGCCGGACATTAATCGACCAAGTCGTCATTGTCCGCCACCGACTCTTCTCTATGAGAATGATTGCTTCCACTACCACTTGTGGATAGACTTCATCGTCAGGGTCAATCCCAATATCTTGTGAAGTGGCGGGGGTGCCCCGACTCCGAGAAGTCGTGGGAGTTTGAGGTGCCATATTGACAAGCCTGCCCAGACGTCATGGACGCTTATGATCAGAATGATCATGATGCTCGGCGTCGTCGTGCGCTCGCTCTTCTCGGTAGTAGCACGGGAAGCCAAAGGGCAATGAGCTGATCTCAAGCTATGGCCCTGAGCTTCTGTGGTCGTAGACTCAACCGTGTGAGAAAGCAAAGGGGGGAGCGTGATGGATATTTTTATGTGTCGCAGGGCTACAATACGCAGTAATTCGACGTTGCGCCTTAAACAAACTCAAATCGTAGATTACGCTCTATACGCACGTCTACTTCCTGTTGGCTTTGCTGTAAGGTAGACAGCAAAGAAATCTCCGGTGCCGTTGCACCCATCGCTCAAAGAGCTCTTCATCATCTGCAGCGGTTTTACCGGGGCGAGGACCACAGGAATGGTCCGCATCGCGGTTACAGGGGCGCCTCCTCTTTTAGCTTCAAATTGAGCGCGGTACCGACCCATTGGGGTTTCTTTAAGTACCAGAAACGAGCTCGGAGAGCTTTCCACTGATCAAGCTAGTGACCGGAGGCCCGACTACGTAGACGCCTAACGATCGAGTGATCGCGTCTTTCGCTTTAGTTGCGGGATCCGCCGAGCGGAAGCCGTAATTTACACGAAGATCTAGGACCGAACGTGGATACGAGCGTATGACAGCCGCCCTGCGGGCAGCCTCCAACTGCTGCTCCTGTGTCTCGCCGATGCGATCGGTAGCATTGTCACGTCCCCTGGTTGTCGAGAGGTCGGGGGACGGACATGGTGTCTACAAGGTTTGAACTGAACTCAGGTCGCGCCGTCGGCGCATTTCAACCTCCTCGTCTTTTCGTGCTGAGTAAGGAATATCCGACCCGTGTCGCCTTCCTCTGAATTCTCGGCGAGGAAATTCTTCGCCCAGGGCTAGCGCGGTGTGTGGCGCTAGGTTGCCGAGGGTAAGGGATGTGCTTGCCGTGGAGCTGCGGACATACTGTCCGTAGATGTGCCCTGCGCAGGAGAAGAAGAAGATATTTGCCCGCAGGCGCCTTTGGAACCCAGCTAGGCTGGATGTTTTTCGTGTCATAGACACATGGCTCATTGAGCGGAGAATGTTCAAAGATGTTCTCAAGGACGTAATGGTATCTCAGACACGCGAGCCTCGTATGAGGCGACAGTTATATATGAATTGGGGGTATTTACAATTTTGATGGGGGATGGTTACATGTGCCCGGAGTGACAGAGTTACACGTACCCTTGTATGGAAGGGCGAGCCACACAAGATGGTGCGACCGTATATAGGTGTGGATTACACAAGTTGGTGTAATCACTTGATGGTGTGGCTAAACCGTAACTAGAAGCCACTAAGTGGCAGAACTGCCAGTAGTTGCGCATATTAATCAGTTTTACTATTTAATTAGGGAAAATTTAAAGTTTTAGATATAGGCGGCTCTGCTGCAAATAAAACAATCAAATACTCTTTGAGCAATGGAGCGTCTTTACCTTGGTTTAAGATTCTAAGTACTCTTGGAGACAGCGGATTGAGACCTGCTACACTCGTACTGGTCTCTGTATAGAACGTAAGGTCGGTGATCTTAGCTTAGCTTCCGTTAAGCAAAGAGCTACGGCCCCCGCCAAACTTACTGTACTTGTGCGCAGGCTGTTGCACCACTATATTCCTGTACAGAAGTTAAAATTCTGGTGTGTTCCCTTCTGAAAAAATTTCGAGTGTAACACACTCATCAAAAACAATTGCTGTTCACTTTCTTTATAAGTAAAATATCCAACAAAAGATAGGACACTTTGCTTTCTGGTCCTCAAAGAATTATTTCCTACTTGGCTCATCATGTACCAAAATTTGCGGAAGCTACCAATCACTTAGGAACTAATGAGTAATTAGAGGACCGACATGATTCTTTCTTCACTAAAATTTTGTCCAAAAGTGACAGTTAGACGCTACTAAGACATTGATCCGATGTGAGAAATCTTAGAGTGTATCAATATACATTCAAATTATGTTGATATGATACTGCGACTAACAGATAGTCATCTGTAATTCGTCTATAACATTTGTGTAGTTGTGGAGCAGTCTTGAACTCAAATCAGACCTATATCCTTAACTATATCTTGTTAGGATCTAAAAGCCGGTTTATGTATAAATTTAATCATGTGTCCGTATTCTTTTCGCTCCGTTTTCAAGACCTTATGAATTTCCACATGTCCAGCCGTCTCTCCACCTCTACGTTGAATTGCAATACCGACAAAGCCGCCGCATTGTGACTATTTCGCAATCACAATATTGTCGCATCTTCACTCTTAAAGAACACTCGTGACTCCCAATCGATGATCTTCCGGAAAGTCGCGCTAGTTTCACGCTCTGTCAACACAATTGCTCGCTGCCACTTCACGATTGCGACTAACGCAAAAATCAATGGCAATAATCGTGACAAGCCGCCCAATGATACGCTCAGCTACGTTCCAGAGAATTCAGATGGAAGATTTTATATCGAACAATTGTAAGTCAGTACTTATATTCTTCTGAGGTGACTAAACTGATGTTAAATATTACATAGGAATGAGCAATGGCGCTCGACAATTGCAGGTCAGAAGTTCCATCCAAATGATATCATTGGGTCAGCGCTGGGTTCAGTAGTACGTTAGAGTCTTCCAATAATTTGAGGAAGAAAGTATCTAATGTCATGTTGTTGTTTTTTCAGTACTCCGAACCAACTCGATTTACCGTCCAGGTTACACCTGACAAACACATGTATTTTACGGGCGGACTTGAGTTTGTAAACCACAGCTGTGATCCTAACACACGCATTGATATAAGTGAGAGCGAAGCCAAAGTATCGTTTATTGCGATCAAACCCATCAACCAGGGCGAACCTCTAACGTTTGACTATTCGACAAGTGAATGGGACATGGACGAGAAATTCAAGTGCAGTTGTGGTTCTTTTTCCTGTCGTGGTGACATTAAAGGTGCCAAGTATCTGACTGACGATGAAGTTACTGCTCGCTTGCCTTACTTCACACCAAGTGTTTTGCGCCAGTTGCTAAATCGCAAATTAACTTGCTAGAAACGGAAACATTATAAGAAATGCCTGAAAACAAGAGCTAAAGGCTTACTTAAGACAATAAATGGACAATTACAATGATACTCTATTTGTCATTCCGAACTTTACATCGCGTAATGCTTGGTGGATACACAAGCGGGTTAGAAGCAAGTGCATGCTTCCACTGCTCCAAAGTGTCAATGACACCAATAAGCACTTGTTTGTCTTCGGCACGCACCTGCACTGCAGATAACAAGCGCAAATTTGTACTGATCTGAATATCAGCTAAAATCTTCTCGTCCTCTTCAAGTCTGTACCAATTCAAATGAGTTGAGAGCAATAATTACTATTTACTACCACAAGACGTACGTCGTCGGAAAGCTTGCAAGCTTTCTGCGGCACGCATGTTGTAAATTGTCGTACACGGCCACTTCATTGCGAAGGCTTAGAATTGATCGATTAAATGCCTAGTACCCAAATACAATATTATTGGTAAACATTATACAGGTACTAAATTCAAGATCCTACCTTCTCACACGATTGAAACTCCTCTTCATTCATTAAAATTACACGCAAAGTAGCAAGCAATCTCTCGTCGACATCATTTGTAAACATAGTTCCACAAAAGTCATACGTCTGATTCTTTGTGAGCTCATTCGTGTCCAGTATCGTCTGTTTGATTTTTAAAAACGGATCAGTTGGTGGAATCTTCATCCAAAAGTCCAGTGTTCGTCGAGAGTTCTCATTTGCAACAAATCCGTACGAATACAGCAACTTTGCGTTTGAATATTTTCCATAACTTATCATCAATGCTGAACCTGCTACCACGTCGTTCGGAACGTGATGAGTTAACATCTGCGTCTCTTCATTGAACGAAATAAACTCATCCAATGAATTAGTCAGTTTGGCATCATGATTGAACATATCCATAGCGGGACACAATACTCGAAGGTATTTTCCACCTTTTGTTATTCCAAACGCACGACTCCAGATGACAATCATGGCCCACGTATAATCGTCAAACGACAGCGTCGGTAAAGTCGAAAACAGGTATGAAAACTCGTCTATTATTGCAACGTGAATAGATTTAAAATCTCGCTTGAGTCGCTCTTTCATCAGTCGCGTGAGTAATGATACATTTGAGCCTTTGAGTTCATCTAGCTCACTTTCAGACCATAATAGTGGTAGATCAAACGTTGTGGGTAACGATGCAATGAATGGAGCATAGAACGATTTGAACGCTTTGCTCCGTTCGTGCATTAAGTGCAAAGCTAGAATCTCGTCATCTGGAAGTTGTGGATATGCTGCTACAATCGGCTGAAGATCCGAGGCAGCAGCAGACTCGACATTCATCGTGAGTTTATAAGGAACTTGGAGTGTCATTTGACCACGTTCTAAATTCTGCTTGGCAAACACACCGTGGCCTTCATCTCGACCGAGATATCGAATATTCAATCGATTCTCGACGCTTCCATTAGCTTCAAGCCACTCCAAAAGTGCCGTCACTACCGGTGAGCTCATGACTTTGAAATTCAATGGGCCGGAAAGAAGTATAAACTCATAGCGACTCGTGATAACATCTCAGAGGGAAATTTAGTCACTTCTGTGCTCGAATTTCAGATGTGCAAGATATCAATGCATTGTCAATCATGTCATGGCCGAGTGATGTGTACTGGACACGACCTATCTAATGCGAGGTCTTTGATTGTATCGTACAAGGGCCCACTAGTCTGTTTATCAGGGTTCTGTTAGGTTCTTGCCTCTGTAATGCATATAGAAGATCCGCACGACAAATATATCTGCCATGTAATAGCTGATTAAGCCTTCCACCGTAGGTTGAATACCTTGGTTTCTCTTGACTCATCAAAGCAATTCACTTTTCATCTCACAATGAAACGATTAAGTGCCCAATTATGGTTCATGGATTGCTTCCGAAATCGTTCGTGCTATCTTAATTGCGAGGAAGGGGATATAGTGGTTCTTCAGTTAGTGTCGGGTCAAGGGTCGTGATGATTGCAATTAAGCGTGTTTTAAAGTAAGCTTTTTTTGCTAAGCGAATGAGATCAGAATATAAAGTCTTATTTGACATAATGCATGTGATGACAAGCGATATCTATAGCGTCTGGTCGTCGTAGCGTCAACCCTCAAAATGATACACGTTGCTCTCGTAGCTGCGAACTACGTCGGGAGATATAAACACTAATGCCCGTCGAGACTCCTGTTTGTCCGAGCTCGGCGTATAGCCGAGCCGCAGAAACGTCAAGGGCTCACAACTTTCGCTCGACGCTGAAAAAAGTCTCGAGATCGGCAATCGATTTAGCAACCCAATGACGCTCTTCACAAGCACTTATTTGCGCGGCGGGGCAAAGTGCAATTCCGGTTAAAAGACTTTGGACGCAGATGAATACTCATTGCACTCAGCACGAGGAGCTGAAGATTTGCAATGCAATATGCGCTGATCACCAACGAGACCCTTGAGATCTAAGTTTGGTACAGGAGTTACAAAATAACTCTCCCAGGTGAGACTTGTGTCAATAATGTATTGCTCGAATACAGAGAATTTGGCAAACTCCAGCAGACTGCAATGTCTGGTGAAACTCGAAGAGACTGTCTACTACGCTCTGCAGAAGAAACAGAGAGATTTATCGGGATACTTTCAGCTTAATATAATTCTACTTGCAATTGGTATGGGAAACTATGAAGAATCAGTTCTTGACTCGCTTCAGCGCTTATCCGACCGAAAACTAATTTCATGGCAGTAATCTTGCCGCTCGATGACACGATGTGAAGGCGATTCCGATTTCTTGCGAATCTTTGATAGAATCAGCTGAGTTGCTATAATGTCAGGCTTCAGTTTATCAACAACAATAAGTGCTGGACACAGACGTATGGTTGTCGTTATATCTAGTCAATAGACATCGCAAATTCCTTAAACGCTTCCATGCAAAATCTTTGAGCTTTCAAAGTTGTTTGCGTTGCATGTCTAGGAAAACTAAGTATACAAGACAATTTAAGATCATTGATCTGATTATTTCAACTATTTTGTTTAATCTTGTAAGCTTGTGCCCTTTCAAACTCTTGAATCTCAGCATTGGCATCTGAAATATATCTCACTACGCCTTGGACTCTTATGATGACACCATCGACTCACTACTCTTCACGATTTTCAAGGTCGTCGTTTATCATAAAGTCAATATTGGCTATCAAACGGCACGCGCCATGCATCGTATCTTCCAGGACATAATTTACTCGCTTTGTTTGGCCTTCGACGTTTAGATGTACATGGACAACTGATTGTCCAGAAGTCCGAACAGTGCGCGTCAGAACTTTGCGGTAGAAAGGGTGTGACGGTCAAAGTCGATCTCGACTGGTAATCCGTGTAGACGGAACCATTAACAGCGTGCTGTACTTTAAGCGGCACAAGATGGATCAGTCGAAAAAGAAATGCATACGCATATACCAGCTATTCGATGGGGCAGACAATTATTGTGATGGTATTTCGTGGACCTAGTGGGGATTATACACTGACAGATTACAAAGTTGTCGCATACTTGTGATAACTGCGGCAAGTAGTCAGTGAGACGGTTGCTCGAAGACAGCCATGGTAATTTCGTAAGAGTTGATGGCATGAAGCTTCGTGGGTGGAAATTTAATTGTTTTACTTTGTCGACCCGCTGAGTACTAGAAGTCGATGAAGTAGTGGTTGGTTGCCGGATACTTAATCTTACGATTTTTGAAGCACTTAAGCTTGTCTCAACAAGTTTCGTTTTACTTCCATACTTCGACAATTTCCTCTCACATTGTGATCATTATCTGCACGTGATCTTGATTTTTTCGGATCATAAGTCACTTTGAAAGCGCGCAAGCTAAGATGTTTTGCTGACCATAATTCAAATGTACACCGATGCATCTCTTCATTCCTCTCGACAACTGGGTGGCTTCACTGCTGTCTGCAAAATATTTTTACAAGACGGCCTTCGGCTGGCAGAAACTTAAGCAATAACTAGTTTATCGCTAAAAGCTGTTGTCGTAATAGGGGCTGTTGCTTTGTGGCGGTCAGAATTGTCGTGACTGACACGGTACATGAACGTCATAATCGTATTTGATCAGTGCACAACCCAAGGGACAGTCACTCGCATCGCGGACCCCTGATATGGTTTACCATGGTTTAAGAAACCATAATCAAGTTGACAAATATTGTTCAATATTATATTCTTATGACAAACGTCTCTGCCGAACGGCAACTTCCATGTATGCGCTCGCCAAGAAGTTTATCTGTGAATTTCCTGAAGTCCCTGGCAAGCGCATACACGTCAAGGCGTCTCAAGAGTCCTACCCCAATCTTTGTTTTCTTATATTCTGATCAATGTTTCTATATCTGTATAATGCATCGTGGACGAAACCTTCGTCAAAAAATTCGACAACCACACACACTCGCACAAAGACGTCTTTCACTAAGATGAGATTCAATTTTTTTCACGTTCAAATCATGGCGATAAACTCTGGATGAATGAATTCTCAGTGTTTACATGGCGGATTTCATTGATATCATCGATTTCACAATACACAACAACATTCACAGACGCACTAAAAATATTTTGTATTCGAAAATCTGCTTCGTCACCGCAACTTGAGCACACATGATTTCTTCCTCTTGTCTTCTTTTTTCTATAAAAAATGTTGTTGCTGCATTTATCTCTTCTCCACAAATTATCATATACAGAATTTTCGTTAATAGTCTAGAAGACAGACCTCCTCCGGCGTCTAAGTTTTCCACCTTCCTTCGTCTTCTTTACAATGGGACCTAATCGCAAACATGGACGCCATCGAGCATTAAATACAACGAGATGAAAGTACAATATCCTCCAGGAATGTGTGAGATCAAGTCAACTGCTGTGACGCAGTTGAAGTAGGCATATTGTGAACAGTCAACGGCAAATTCCACCTTTACCCATCCAACGTGTTGATAATGTCTCGAGCTAGAATTCCAGTATCAGATCAAACTTGCCATCGAGGTCATGCCATCGAGGTCAAGAAAATCTTTTTCGCTACGGAAATCATCAAACTCGGCAGCCCAGCGAGCAACTCACCTTGGCATCTTCACACTTCTCCGTTGGTCAGCCGGATAATTCTTTTTTTATATTCCACTACATCAGACATGGGTATTTAATGTGTGATGATCACTTCCTTGAAAAAAATTGATTGAGGCGCCGGTGTCAACCAAACTACATAAAGGCGTTGCGAAGCCATCAAGTGTGAAAGCGGAAAATTTTGGCATTTCACTGAGACTGCAACTGTTTGCCATAGCTTTCGTTTGTACCTTCCACCCAGGAGCTGAACTAAGAGTGTTAAGAGCTAAAATACTCGCTAGCTTTCTTATTTCAAGAGTGACATCGCTATAGGATCTATTATATTAAGACCAATACTAAATATAGCCTTTGCTATATCTCACAATCATACAGGCTTTATTCGTCGACATGCAACTAACAAGCCACGTGCTTGGCCCCATCACTTCTGTAAATTGCTATGCTTCCAGACCTGATTTGTCACAATTACACGAGAATTTTGCTATGATGTTAAGGCGCACTAAATGTTAATGATAGACATTGCACGAAAGTGTGCGCTTTGCGCTTTACTTTCAATTATCCGCTTTTCACTTTTCCTTGCCTGTCCCTGAAAGCGGTCGCTTTTCCAGTGCACGAGAACAAATTGCTATGTAAGTCCCCGGAAAGGACAGCCGCTATAAAATACTCAATGAGGATGCCAAGGAGCTCTCAATGAGATATTTAATTTCTCGAGTCTTGACGTAAATCTCCGCCTTTATTTGAGGACATTCGACCAAGCGATTTACCTTAAGAAAGGGCGCTTACTGCGATTAACCTCTTCTCCGTGAGCTACTCAGACTCCGTGCCCTTTTAATCTTTCGGCGGGGATCTCTGCAACACCCCGCTCTGGCTTTGCGAAGATGTCCTGCTCATCACGACCGGGCTGGAAATGGCAGCTAAAGTTTACCTTTATAATCTGCAAGCGCAAAAGATGCACCAAATGCTGCCGAATCATCACGTCTCGGCTGTGATTTAAATCAGTCTGAACTTGCTCGCCGAATTAACCAGTGTCCTAACACGCTTATGTGTACAAAATTTTCGCCTACAGCAAAAGTGAAAATACGCCTGAAAGTCGCTTCGCCAGTACTTCATGGTTCTATCGGTCATAGAAAACTGCAGCAAGGCTGCCGTATCTTTGCGCTGAGAGGAAGCGTAATTTTGGTCACTGACCTTACGTTCTCCACAAGAATTAGTACGAGTGTAGCGGATCGCAATCCGCTACTTCCAAGAGTAGTTCGAACCTTAACCCAAAGCTAATAAATTCTTCTGTTAAAATGTAAACTGTATTTATTTATATATATGCGGCAAAGCCGCCTCATTTTACATGTATAGATTTTTCTAAATATACATAGAAAAGTCTAAATACATGCATAACTATAGGCTACCCAGCCACGCACCGTATTCATATTTGGGTGCAGTCACACCATGCCCATCTCGTGTGACACCCCCCCCTGTTACCAGGGTACGTGTAACCCCGTTACACTCTCCACATTAAGATTGAGAACATTTACAGTTCCAATCGATTATTGCCTCAACGAGGCTTGCGTATCCGCTAGTCACTGCAACTTGGTTCGTTGGAACAAAACGACTTCCGTGCTCAATGAGCCCGGTGTTCACGACACTGAAGACACCAAGTCTCGCTGGTTCTGACAGCGAAAACCGGCAGTGCCCAACTTCGTCTCCCGCAAGCGGTGCAATGTCGGACAGTGCGTCCGAGGCATCGAGGGATGTAAATCCTAGGCTTGATGCACGCTATCAGTGAAGAGTGACCTCGTTGAGGATGTGGAG